GTTCAAGTTTTGTTAAAATTAAACTAAGTTAAAATTTGGACCCTTTGGACTTTAAAATGTGGACAAATTTGAAAACCGGACCAAAATAAAAAATATAAATATAAAACATTTGCATTTTGTATATCAAAAGAACCTCAAGAATTCAAGTTGTGTAGAAATAAGAAAAAAATTTTGGACCATTTTGAAATCAATGAGAACCAATTTAAAATGTGGCCCATTTGCAACATCTTAAATTATTTAAATACATTGTTAGATTTAGCATATTAAGAACCCAAATAATGTATTTATTTTAATTTGTTCTTGTCCTAAACATGCATGAACCATTTGCCATTGGACATTAGCATTACCAACAACCAATCAATTAATCGAACAGGTGAAATATCTTCAAAAGTACCAATAAAAATCTCCCCCTTTTATATTTGAAAAAGTAAAATCACAAAAATACTGGACTCTGAGGAAAATTCAAAAAGGAAAGTCTCCAATCAAATGGCAAAATCAAAAGTTCAAACACATCAAACGAATGGATAACAACTATCATATTCCTGACTTGGTTCAGACATTTTCTTATGTAGAAAATGGTGGATTGAACCTGGTTTTATAGCTAGATAATAAACCTCTCACTTGTATGACAGTCGCATCAAATTCCATTATATTGACAACGATGCGTGAACAAAACAAACAGACACAATAGGTAAAATTGTCAAAAATAAGGGTACAGCAGTCAACATTGTGTTATCATCTTAATCACTATAAAAACAAACAAATGTGACGAAGAAGCACAAAAAGGCATACATCAAATTTAACATCCTCATTTTGCTTATATTATACGATTTTTTTTATATCTATGTAAAATCCACCCATAAAGGATGGAAGGTTTTAAGTACTGGCGTAAAATCGCGCGTTCGAAATTCGCACAGATACAATGTAGACATAAAATAATTTTGTCGTTCAAAGTATGACGGGATACATAAATACAGAGTCACAAAAAACAGACTTAACAGTAAAAGTAATACGTATTAATAAATAAAATAATTGAAATGGAATATATGAACAGTTCATTAGTCATTGTTAGTTATTGAATGGAAACTAAAGGAGCCGCCCAATATAGTACTACAAATTAAAATTAGCAAAGTGATTTTTCAATGGGAAAACCAAGTTAACAAAGACCTGTTTAATGAAACTGATGTACAAATGTATAATATGTAATTGTATAATTATGTTATTATATAAGAGATTACATATACTTTGTATGATTACCATGTTATACAAACAGTTAAATTAATATATAAGTTAATAATAACTTACCAATATCTTCTTCTATACATGTATTTAGTTTGATCTGGCTATTGTCACTTTTACAAAAATTCATCTTAATTGAGCATTGCTTGCATATATATAGCCCTACAAATAAAAAGTGTTAAACTATAAAATAATTCTTCAATTTTGTTTTACATGAAATAAAATATATCAGACAGGAAATGTAGGGTAGTGTAGCATCACTGTGCATGTAGTTTAAATGTATGTTTTTTCTTTTAAAAAGGGCTCTATAAGTAATCTACATACATGTACATGTAGGGTCCTAAAATTGAACTTTACAAAAGTTTGCAATGCTTTTGATTTTTTTAGTCTCCATGGCCTATTAGTTCATTAAAAAAATATTATTCTCTGGATAAAGTTGTCTAGTGTTACATGTACAGTATGTTGTATGTAAAACATGTATTTGTAGGAGTCTTTTCCACGAGATAAAAGTTTTTTTTAGTAGACAAAGAGCTGAACAACTTCCAGTAAGAACTGAAAATATAAATATGACCTGCTAAACGTTGAATATGTTGAAATAGATTTTGATTATTATCATGATTCTGGTCTATAAATTGATTTTTTAAAGCAGAAAATAATTATATATTGTACCCTGGTTAATAGCTTGAAAATTAAAATTCTGTCCTAAGCTGACAAGGACATAAATATTTTGACCATTCTAACCCTCCCCCTTGCTTTTTTAACCAAATGGTCCCAAGACAGAACAATGTATATACGGATATATATTATTTGCTTGCACTTTGCTATAGGAAATAAATAAGATGTCTTAGAAACAGGTCAGGTGTAAAAGAATATTCACATGCCCCTTCAGCACCCCCCTTTTTTTAATCTAGCTAATGTATCAATTGTTGGTCCCCTAATTTCAGATTGACTATATGGAACAAATGAAAATTGATTGTAAGATTTGTACCTGTTCCTACTGGAATAACTCGTCCTGTATACAGCCTGTTTTGAAAGGGTGAAGATCCTTGGTCAGCTTTGGCTTTGCTGGAAGAGGGTTGGACGAGATGTTGACATCTTGCTTGACTATCATGTCAATGAATTCCATAAAAGTCCCTGTACTTCGAGCATATTCAAAGACAAGATGATGTAACAACCATGGGAAAATAAACCACTCCTTGTCTTATATAAAATAAGGAGTCCTGTTGGAAATTCTACACCATAGTTTTCAGTATTATTCAGACTTCCTAAATGTAGAAGAATGGTAGTCTGTATCTGTATGAATATGTTTGGTTACCAATGCTGGTTTCAATACCACGGCAGAGAGAGTGTCGTTGATTTATTGATGGTGCGCCAGAGCAGTTTTGACACTCTCAATTTCAATTTTGGTGCGAGCAAGGTGGTTCCACTCGCTCACTTTTTTTTTAAGAAGAATGATTTAGAATACTTTTGTTTTGCTCGTTGAAATCTAAAAACATTTTTGCTGTTCATGGACTTTCCAATCAATATTTATCATGTTTATTCACTAAATTATTGTCATGATTGTCAAATTTCTTGGCAGTAATTATTTTTTTTGGAAATGCTATTTTGGTCTTTAGTGCATTCAGATATCTTAAATAGTTTGTAATATGTAGATGTATAAGGCTGGGATAGCCCACATGCTCATCCTAGATTATTTAAGTCACAAACTTCACTGTAAACATTTGTCTGCCAAACCATCACTGGGAGCTGACATGTTTGAGATCTTACCCAAGGGAGATAAGTCAATGGAAGAGCATAAAAGATGGACTCCCTGGTTTCAGACAATTTATTGATTTTTGGACTTGCAGTACACATACGTCTTATTTAATTTTTCAGACAAATTGATTTTACTTGTTCGAATGATTTTATGAGCCATTTTAGTACCAATTGTGTTTAGAATTTAATTAAAATCAAAATCAAAATGTGTCAATTTGGGACTAAAATCACCATTCTTCCAAGGCATAAACTAACATATAATAGTCATTTGAAAAGCTTAATATTTTGTTTTGATATAAAACATACCCCATAGTTAAAACCGATATAAGTTGCAAACAAATCCGGAATGGGTCTTGCAAGATAGAAGCGAATGTAAACCACGTAAATTCATGTATGAAAAACCCCGCCTTTGTGTCCCTGCTCCTGGCAATGTGCCAAATCGTTTAAATTTTCATTTGTTTTGATCATAACATAGTAAAATGGATGAGTTTCAGCTGACATTACTCTAAAAACTCAACTACCCCATTTAATATGCTTCTGAGTCATTCTTAAAAGGGATAAAAAAGTTGGATTTTTCCTTGGTTTCATTATGAATTTACAGAATTATGCAAATGAGGCTGTTACTAAAAATAGATACGATTCTGGGAAAAATTAAGTGGTCAAATTCTTTTATTTTATGTCAAGGATTAAGATGATGTATAAAAATTTGTCTAGTTGTGATTGTCGATTTGGACGATTTTCTGAATATTGCATGGTTTTCTGGCGGATTGGCTCTTAATACACTTACTTTTTGAATATTTTTTTTTTGGTTTTCTTGAATTATGAATTATGATATGTTTAACGTGTCCTAATGAAATATAATAAAATAAATAAACGTACTTATATTGAATGATTATAGGGAAAGCTCTTCACCTAAGTTGATAAAACGTGGCATTGAAGATATCAATATTTTTGTATTAATCTGAAATTCAAGATATTAAACATTTGATACATATGTTTCCTATGTTTGGCCATCAATAGACACATACCGGGTATATTGCGATTTAAAATATAGAAATATATTATATAACGTCTTGCATTATACGTCTCTAGTCTAGTTTGTACAAATCATATAGATTCTCATATCCATGAAGCTGCAACTATTACGAACACAACGTAATAAATTTACAAACAAATTAAAATAATAGGAAATTTTTAAGACTTGATTATATTTGTCAAATAAAATTGAGAAATGAAATGAGGAATGTGTCAAAGAGACAACAACCCGACCAAAGAGCCGACAACAGCCTATGGCCACCAATGGGTCTTCAATGCTTCAAATATACTTGATGATTTTAACTTCAGGTGCAAATATTGTACGAAATTTAATTAACGATCATAGTTTTGACGTGGCAACTTTGCAAGCACATTACTGTTTCTTTACTAGTTTGCCATTTTTCTATATTTTTTATTCTGTAATTTATTTTGTCATCTATTCTTCACTTTTTGCCTAATATTTTCGTTTCTGTAAACCTCCATCCAGACCCTCATCTATATGAATTTATGCAGCCAAATCACTTGCAATTATATAGTCTCATATTGACTTTAAAGCTAATAAAAGTAAGTAACCATCCGATTTAATTAAAAACAACCGTTACAACTATTTCATAAAAATATTCTGCAGACTATTTACTCATGATCGCATAAAGGCGAGATAATTTGTTTGTCCTTATTAATAAAAACATCAATTTGTCGACATTTTATCAAAGTCATAAACACAGTTATTATAAAATTAAGTGTCTAATTACCAATAATCTTCTATTTTATGAACAAAACAAAATCATTTCAAAGATAACAATAGCAGTATTTGAAAATACTGCAGTGTAAGCTCGAATATTCATGTATTATTAACAATTTTTTAAACAACATATTTTAAATATTGTCTCAATTATTTTAATTTAAAGTTTCGTTTGATTGTTTAGGGTGAGTAAGCATTTATGTTCAACCATTGTTTAAATTAGTTTTGTTTACAAGATGGCGGACAATAATATCATATGCATAATAACATGCAATTATTATCATACGGGGGAAGATTATGAACTTGTGGAAATATGGTAAGAAAAAAAAATTTCATGGATGTAAAAGATCTATAAAGATATTTTTTAAATATTAAAATCTAGCATTTTCTTTGATATCAAAATATAACATTGTCCAAATGTTGAAATATTGAATGAAAAAATGTAAACAAATGGAATTCTCTCTTTTCTATCAAGCTTAGAAATGCAAGCATTAACACAAACACATATTGCGCATATTCAAAGCTGATATGACATTGCTCATTCTATATCTATTTAAACATGAAATCATGAGTATGTGTAAGTATAGAATGTAAAACAATTGAAATCTTTTTTGACACGATTCTTGGTTAATATTGAGCCCAAAAAAAATTGTTAGTTTCAAATATGTAATCCGTTTTAATTGTGTTATTGCTTAACAATCAATTTCACACGAGATCCCCCGCTAAAAAAAACAACAAAAACCCCGCAAATGCTGTCTTTATGTCGAAAGACATCTTTCTTTACGGGTATCTTTATCAAGTAGACAAAGAAATAATACAAGAGCTTCACAATATTATTAAGTACTGAAGATTTTGTGAAGCTTTGAACTGAAATAATTATTTTTGTTGAACTTTAAAACACAGTTCAGATTCAAATTAAGGACAACCAAACAATCACTTTTTTCTAAGGGTCTGTATTGGGTTTAAAGAATAATGGTTATGGTCTAACAGTGCAGATTGAAGGTCAAACACAGATTGAATTATAGAGAAGAATAGCGAAAAGCAAATTAACAATACTAGGTTGCTTAATAATGAAGACTTGAGAATATTGGGCAAAATAATTATAGAAAAAATATGGAAGAAAGGTCTAAAAAAATAAAGAATAAAGACATAAGAGATCAGATCAGGACCCTCACATATCCACTGCCCTACAAATTTTGAAATGATGACAAAGAGGATGAGACGCATTTCTTTAAAAACAGATTATAGACATCAAGGTATTTGATCTTATGTGGTTAAATCATCGTTATTTTGAAAACCATATTACGTATATATACACAATAAGTCAAGTCAAATGATTTAAAAGAGCTACTAGTATGTAAATAAAGTAATTTCTGTAGCAAACACGTTTAGGCCACACATTTTATATATGATATGTTTCACATCTCATTCAGCTTATTGCGTTGGATACCTTTACTAGATTCAGATCTTGTAGTTACAGACTGTTATTATAACTAAGTATGTCATAAACCAACACATGTGTGCAGCATGGATTGTAGTTTTCTAAATCATCAAAGAGAAAAATACATTTTGTGTATAATGTTTTCTTTTCGACAGATGAACACATCGAGAACAACTGCATACTAATCGTTATGACAAGGAAATGGAGTGGATAGAAAAGCTGCCATGGGTAATGCTGTTGACATTTTGTACCGTAAGAAAATTGAAGAGCGCAAAAAACAGACAGAGAAGGAACGACAAATTTTCCAAGCTTGTATAGCCTGGAATATCAGACAAGAGGAACTACATAAAAGAGAAATTGCTGAAAGAAAAGAAAAAGCTTGGAAAGAGCAAGAGAAGGAGAGAATGAAAAAAGACGAAGAACTGATGGAAATGTATGTTCAAAATATCGAAAAAGAGAAAATATCAAACAAGAAAAAATTGAAGTTAAGAGAACGAAAAATTGAGGAAAGGAAAAGACTGAGTTCTTCTCTTTCTAATAGGAGCACAAGACAGATGGAAGAACACATTAAAAAGGAATCAAAGATAATTGCCAAAAATATAGAGAATATCGAAAAAAGAGCGGAAAAGTCAAAAGAGGAGACGAAAAAACGAATTAAAACAATAGAAAAGAAACACGCGGAGGACCGGAAGCTGTTTATGCGCAGAGTTACAACCGCTGAACAGGAAAGAAATAAAGATATTGTAAAAGCTGAACGCAGAATATCATACATTGAGAAGAAGATTGTACAGGAGCGTATGATTTGGCAACACAAACTTCTGGCCGCAAGACGAATTGAAAGTGGGAAGAAAGTATCTGGTAAAAAGCTTTGGGAAATTGGACGAAAGACAGTTGAGAAGAAAAAACAGTCGCTTGAAAAGTCAAAACAAGGAGAGGGCAATAAAGTTTATAAATCTCAACGAAAGGTTGAGGTAGAATGGGAAAACAAGACATATCTTAGTGGAAAAGATCAATTGCATAAAAACATGAACAAAAAGGCAATAAATAATCGCGTTGTCAAGACGATTTTGTCCACTGTAAACGAAGAAGATCCTATTTTACTTGACGTAGGCAAAAAGAAAATTACACCTAGAATAGGCGCAAAAAAACAACGTATTACTAAACCCGTTGTAAAATCAGAACAATTTACGTCACAGACAGATATAGTGCGACGTTCCAACTCAGAACGGTTTCAACGTTTTTATGTTCCACAAAAGAATAATTATGCAGTAAAACAAACAACCCTAAACACCTTTAGAAAAACCGATACGGACGTCAGTACAACTTTTCATCTCAACAAAGTCGATAGCGTTACAAACAAAGCGGAATTTGGTAAAACACAACAAAACACAGAAACGCAAAGACAAAAAAGTAGTAATAATACCAACAATCTCCGTAAAGATAACAGAATAAACAATCATTCCGATCAAAATACTTCTATGAAACAAACGAAGAATCCCAAAGTAGAATTTGAACAGAAATCAGAAGCAACAAAAATAGAGGATATTGCAGAAAAACCAACGAAATTAAACGAAAACCCAATTCAAATGTACAATCATGCCGTCCGTACAAACAATTCACGTCGAACGGACACATCAAAACCTGGACAAATTAAACCAAATTTAACTCAAACACCTACTGGTAATTTCAACTCACTAAACCGTTTACAAGAGAGGAAACAAATTATCACATTATCTGACCCGCTGATTCCAAAAAGTCTTGAACTCAGACAACCGGAAGTTGAGGAAATTATGGGTATTAAGCCTCTCTCAATCGCGAAAGATAGTATAACAAATAAAACTGTCCATTTCGAAAACAAGTTTACAGAGAGCAAACAATCACTAACGACAGGTATAGAACCGAAGAGTGACAAATATAACGAGGAAAATGCAAAATTTAACAATCAATGTTCAAAAATGAAAGAAGGGCAAATTTTAAAGAGTAACGATCAGAAAGAACGTTACGAGTTTCTATTTTCTACAGTTAAAAAGCCGAAACGAACGGGAGACGATGAAACCGAGAGTAAAAACAAGGAGAAAACAGATAAAAAGACAACGAATGATTATGTACCGAACCTCCCCACTACTAAAAATGTACTTCTTGTAGACAAAACTCAGGTTAAACCACCGGAGATGGGAACAGGGGCAGTCAATACAAAAGTGTCACTAAAGACTAGAATAAAAGAACTTGAAAATGACACCAAAACAGAACATCGCTTTGGTAAATCGGCTGAAGTAGAAGAAGGTTTTCGGAATCCTAACACAAAAGAGGATCCAAAAACAACCACTGTAGAACAAATAACGAGAGTTACGTTGCAAAATAACGAAATGGAGAATGTTAAGCGTTCCACCATAGAAGACCGTCGTGAAAGGAGACAAAAACTAACTGTTCCAATAAAACCAAGAACAAATCTCTCTGTAAATAGTTATCCCAGCATGTTTCTAGTGGATCAAAGAATATCAGAGGTACAACGAAGGATAGATAAAATGATGAAGACTAGCAGTACAGACATATCAGTAGCATAATTTTCTCAAGTATTTTAATCCTTGTTCTAGTTTTTACTTATCTTTATACTTTTATTTTCTCACGTTTAGCTAGAGGAATAGCGGTATTAGATTGTTATAATATATAAACTTATAGTTTTAAAATAACATGTATTCTACTAAGCTGTCAAAGGAATACAGATTTTTTCATAAGATTTTCTAAATAAATTCATTAAAATTACTGTATGTATTATTTTGTTCACTATGTAAATGATATACCTGTAATAAAACTTAGATTTTAATTCCATCTTATTACGTTGATCATAACATATTTTGGATGCACAATATTAAGAACGATTTCATCACTTTCTAGCAATTGGTAAGTACTACTGCTGGTGGACTGCTTTTTCCGACACTAAGATTCAAACGTTCTCAGACAAAGTTGACCTTAGGTGGAACTGGTTACTCCATTTCTGTACTTTTTAAAAACCCTTCAAAAAATCTTCATCAAACATTAAGCTAATTATTTTTGTCATGAATTTCTTCAAGTAATTATACCTCTTAGGATTTCAATTTTTTGGATTCGAGTAAATTAATTTAATTGATCAACATCTAACAATTACAGTATTTACTAACTTACTTAATTTAAAATATCAAAACTAGTAACAATAAAAATATCAAAATCATCTAAAATACAAAAATATGGATAGAATATTTAGTGTAAGCTCTTCAAATTCGTTATTTATCTATTTGTTTTCCATTGAACACCACTAGTAAGTCATGAAGAGTCGAAATGAGCGTTCAAAACCTTTAATATAAGCCAAGACTTTTGATGAGATTTTTCTACGTATTTCGAAAGAAAAATAGAGAATAAGCCATTATAACAGTTATTAATAAAAAAGCAAACACTACTGGTCTCCAATGCAATGCAAAAGCTTATTGATGAGTTTTTTGCAGGTTTTGTAGTAAAACAGATTATTGAGAAATTTGACACTATACCTCTGAGTATCTAATAATGCACAAAAGGAACCAATCTTCTGAAATTATGTCTTAACAATACCGATGAAAGAGCAAATCAGATACCAACAATCTGAATATCAATTGAGTCCATACAAAAACTAGATCAATAACAGGACTTTAAGGTTTTCAAATAACAGTAAATGCAGGATATAGAGGAGGACTATTTACTTGAAACATTACAGGTACCAATGTTAGCGGTCCGCGTTGCCAAAATTAATTACAAGTCTTGGCAATAATGGGTTTTAGTCAATATGATGACGGTTTTTTTTCGTTTTTTGCATATATGTCAGATCTTTCATACTTTATGTCGAATGTATTTACTGCATTTTTAAACACTGGACGATTTAGATATAAACTATTGTGGATTATTTTGTTTAGTTAATGACAACAAACTACAGAAGTTAAAAAAACTTACCGTTAAGCAGGTACAAAATTCAATAACAAAAATACCGAATTAAGAGGAAAATTCAAAAAGAAAAGTCTCTAATATAATGGCAAAATCAAAAGCTCAAACACATCAAACGCATGCATTCCAACTGTCATATTCCTGACTTGGTACAGACATTTTCTTAAGTAGAAAATGGTGGATAAAACCTGGGTTTAAAACTAGCTTAATCTCTTACTTGCATGACAGTTGCATAATATTCCATAATATTGACAACAATGTGGGAACAAAACAAACAAACATAATAGCATGAATAGCAAATCTATCTTTATATGGACTAGTGGCGTTGCATTGAAGATATGTCTTTATTGTTAAAATGGGCACTAGATATAAGATATATGAAAACAAAATGATTTTTTAATGTTCAATCATTAATGAAAGTGAAAAAGTGAAATGATAATTCGCTTTGCTTTTAGTATCCAGTTTAGTTCAATTTTGTCAAAATCAGCTAAGAAACACCGTTGTTCACTTGCTAGTGAATAATTCGACCTCTGTGGGATAGTTCATGTAGATTCAAAATATATCATGCATTTTGTTTAGGCATTCATTAAGCGCCACCAGAGTTATAAAATTGGTCGAGTACAACTTTTTCTGTATTGTCATGTGGGTTAACAAAATTTAACCTTAACACCACCAGTAACAGTATATTGGAAATGTCGATAAAACCGTATTTGATTGCTTGATCAAAGCCTGGTATCTTTGATGGGTTTCTTTTGGTCATATCATTATATGATTTCTACTTGTTACATGTAGTATAGTAAACTCTCACTAAAGTCTTCAGTATCACAGCCTTATTGTTAGAATGTGACATTTCTGTAACGTATTTCTGACCATACTAAAGCTCAAGTGTTAAAATAAAATGCTCTAAAACAGTATGTCAAATTTACCCAAGTTTGTCTGTTATTATCTATCAATTTGCGAAAATATATTAGAAAAGAATAAGGACATTGTTATTCAAAAACCCAAAGTTTAGCTATGCTTTTTATAGAGATGTAAAAACAATTAAAAAAAAGAATCTTTTGAATATAAACTCATCATAGATACCAGGATTAAATTTTGTATTTACGCCAGACGCGCGTTTCGTCTACAAAAGACGCATCAGTGACGCTCGAATCCAAACAAGTTAAAAAGGCCAAATAAAGTACGAAGTTAAAAAGCATTGAGCACCAAAATTCCTAAAAGTTTTGTCAAATACAGCTAAGGTAATCTTTTTTTGAGGTAGAAAAGCCTTAGTATTTCAAAAATTCAAAAGTTTTGTAAACAGTTAATTTATAAATATGACCAGTTGAAGTTCTTTAACACCAATGCATATAAACTCATCATAAATACCAGGATTTTACGCTTCTACTGTTTTACTATGTTTACACGGCGAGTTAAAAGAGTTTATTGTTTCAAATATAAACAGCATGACCATTGCAAAATATTTAAATTATATTGCGCGAAGAACTGAGTTTAGAGTTAAAGGTAGTTTATTCTCGATAAAACGAAGATTTGAAATCACCAGGTCTCAGTAAAATTCAGTTCTCCGCACCAGATGAATACCGCGTTACATCTATAGTTACATGTACTGGATCTCGATAAGTGATTTCTTTGTCTAACAAATCAATCTACAGGAGGGTGGCATTGTGCTTGCAGATTCATATGTCATACATTTAAACCACCTGCGACTCATCTTAGTATCACACCCAATCTCGAAACAGAGGCTTGGATGCTTGTTATCGTGGAGCCACCATTAGTATGTCATAGACCATAGACATGGTGATTTAAATCTCAACTAGTAGTTTATATTGAAAACTATATATAGGTAAATACTATGAATAAATTCATCAAGCCTTTGATTTATATTACCATATCACGGGTAATACTTTTCCAACATTTTATCAAAACTAAAAGAAAGAAGACAATAGTATATCATTGAAAACGAGACAAAAATAGAAAAGAACGAGCCTAAATCATACAATTCAGTTATAAAGTTTTCCTAACAAAAATATGAAAAAATTAAATTAAAACTCATTAAGGGCGAAAATCATTTTTTTTTTAATTCTTTTGTTTACAATTAAAAATATGGCGTGTTTATTTATGATATTGAAGTAACTAAAAAGTTAAATGATACTTAGTCGATACGTTTTTTACATACGAAATCAAAATTTCCTCATCATGACGGGATATACAATTATATGGCCTTCAAAAAAGAACGCATAGTACAATTGAATGTCCTCAAGCAACACCAATAGTATATTTGAAGATACATACTTTTAATAATAGATTTGCTATAACGAATTCTGCCAACATTGTTTTTAACATTATTAAGGTGTTTCCCCACAGATGTCAGTTATCCCATATCTGCTATTAAACATTATCAAATGATATCTAGTCATATATTTTTTTGTAATCTTAGTTCCTATAGCGTCATATGACACTTCAAAATGAACACAATGTTTTTATACTTGAATGATTTAGTTTTACTATAAAACAATTGTACTTTGACTTTTGTAATTAGAATCCTTTATTTATGATTTTGACTTAACTAAAAAGTTAAAAGATACTGAATCGATACACTTTTTTGTACTTAAGAAATCCTAATTTCCTCATTGGCTTATGGTATACAATTATATTATTACCTGTACCAGGTCAGGAGTATGGCAGTTGTTATCTTATAGTTCGTTCCTATGTGTGTTGCATTGTTGTTAGTTTTTGTTGCATTTCAGTGTTTCTGTTGTTGCGTTGTTTTCCTCTTATAGGTGAACAAAATGTTTTCATACTTGAATGACTTAGTTTTACTGTGAAACAATTGTACATAGACTTTTGAAATTAGAATCCTTTATCTAATTACAATCTTAACAAACATAATGCTATTGAATAATGTCTTCCCGTAATCGGTATTGCCAAAATTTTTCCGAATGCAGCGACATGAACTGCGGGACCACTCAATAGAAATTCGGCTTTCTACATACAATCGCCGACTGAAATATTATCAGACGATAATACATTAAACTTTGACCTTATAGCTGGAATTATTTATTCCTCTTAAAACAGTTATTTCAGCTGTTTCTTTGTTCCACTGCAAAAACTTGCTTTCGGAATAAATATATTGACGATCTTATGTAAAATGAACATGAATCATGCCATGAAGGAATTATTTCTTACATTTACCATTATCACTCTTAATCTTATTTCTGAGTTCTTGTAGCTTTGGTTGATAATATTGGCATTTGCTATATATTAAGGGGCAACGATCACACCTGAAATTCGTTATTGTTTCGCGATTTTACCTATTTTATAAAATAACTGACCAAAAAGAAAATACAAATACTAATGAGTAGTCAAACATCAACATGAAATGAAACCAAGGTAATTTTTTGTAATAAAAAAACATATGAAAAAAAAATTAGTGAGTCTAAAAATGTATGTGTATTCGCTATATAATGCAATCATTAAAGCCACGAAAACTAAAAAAAACAAAACTAATATCTGAAGTAAAAATGTTCAAGCAGATAAAACTTGTCTCTGAGTACAGATTACAAAATTTGTACTCGAAGCATCAAATCCAGTATTTTTGAATTCTCAAGTCTGATTGCAATAATTATGCTCGAACTGTTATGACCGCAAGGTCAGGTCTAATAAAATATATGTATTGAAAATATGGTATTTAAATGGAACTTATTTGCGTTAAGAACTGCACATAACGGTTTAAGGAAGTTCGCTGCTCAGTTTCAAAATAGATAGCTTTCCATAACACTAGTATATATTGATAGGGGATTAATTGAGGAATCAAAAAAGTCAAAAAATATAGGGGCCAATGTGCTTGTTTTCGAGATATTAGCCATTGGAATTTTG